ACAACCACCCATATGCATAACCCCTATACAACCCCAATGTTATGGTAGTTTCCATTGTCTTTATTATCCCAGTATAACCCCAATATGTACCCTATAATCCCTAAATAACCCCCATAGTCCCTCTAGTTTCCATTTTCTTTTCCAGTAATTTTGACAACCACCCATTTGATTTTGGCAGCCGGCGTTCGCGTGTGCCTACCAGGTTGGCAAGGCACATGGACCGATCCATATCCTTTCACCTTGGTGCGGAGCATGGTCTCAGAGCTTAGGAATTATTATGGCTGTTCTTATTCATATTACTGCTCCTATTATTATTACTCTTATTACTACTATTAGTAATAGTAGTAATAGTAGTAGTAGTATTCTTTATTTATGATTTGTGGGTGTGTGTGTTTTTTTAATTATGTGGCCTTTTTCAGACCGCCAATCCAGGGATTGGGGTTTAGGGTTTAGGATTTAAGGACAGGCATGTCAAACATGACCATTGGTACAATCCAAGTTAAGAGTATCCCGATTAAGCTGAAGTTATCACGGTCGCGCTTCACTATTTGCTACACTGATAACTTCATGCAGGTATTCAAGTACAAATACCTACAAAGCTAACCTTCTTGCAGCTATGGCTGCTGCCTTCTTCTGACAAATCTCTTGATGGTAATATAGGAAAATCTACTGCTGCAGTTCTACACTCGAAACAAACTCATCAGCTGCGCGTCGCTATGTGCAGGTGTCCCAAAAACAAGGAGTCCTTTTGGTGGTGTCTATCATGTGAATTCTATCGCTTTTGGGCCGTCTACCCCTCCCCATGTTTGGAAGCTATTATGGTACTATTATCAAGTAGTATGAATAATATTAATACATTGGTATTATGATGTTTTTAAGTTGTTTTATCATTATTAGTATTAGTATTCTATTAGTATATTTAGTAGTCTTAGTTTTGATGTGTTTCACCTTTGTTGAGGTCGCGGCAACTCGTCGGTTGCAAAGGTCTGTCCCTTGGCAATCATTGCTCTGCTGCTGTTTGCTTGCGATTTGCCATCAGTTTGGCTACCCATACTTGGAATGGGTTATAGGTCTTATCAACCTACTTACTGAGCCCCTCTGACCCTCCAAGTACGCCATGTGATCACACTTGAGCTATAATCCAAACTCCCAGTATCCCCCTGAATAACCCAAAAAATAGTCCCCTCTATGAAACCCCCTTAAAGAGTTTAGACTATAGCTCGTTTGTTGCTGTCATTTCTTTCTATCGATGGCAGTGCAAACTGTCACTATAACAACCTGCGCCTACTCCAGATTTCTATGCTAGACCTCCTTGTCCGAAGGACGCCCAGAAAAGGATCCTAACTGGTGCCAATCCTAAACCCGAACGCCCCACTAAACCCTGTCATAGCCACTGTATGATCCCAAAGCACCCCTACAAGTGGCCCCTACCTTGTGACAACCCCCCTTTGAAGGCAGCGTAGGAGTTCGGTCCTATGAGGCACCATTCTATGTGCCGCACCGTAGACGGTCACCACAAGTCGCGGCCAACCAAAGGGCCTCCAGTCCAGTCTATACATCCCTTCAAAGGAGGTGATATTCAACTGGATCCCGCTCAGGGACTGCCCTTTTCTTCCGCAGGATTATGATTATATATATATATATGTATATATAGATATATGTTGAGACTTGTGTTGAGCCTCAGCCGCTTCCCCTTCCAATCAGGAATTCTGACCCAGCCAGCATCCGCCAGCGTCTACATTCCAGCTCCTGGGACAAACATTTAACCCTGAAAGCGAAATCCTATACACCGTAATTCCTAAGCCCTAAGCCTTATACCTGTGCCCTGTACTCGAACCCCCAAACCCACTTGTACTGAGATGATGGCGATGTGGACTTGTAGACCAGGCCGATAGGAAAACTCCAAACCTTTCCAGATGCAATGTGGACATTGAGGGCTTATCAAGCAACCCTAATGGGCCCCGGATACATGAGCGTATGTGAAGGACATTCGGTGGAAAGAGATTGCAGGGGTTCGCCCTGAGGATTGTGCTGGAATCATTT